CGCTATAACTCACGTCTCACGTGGCCAACAATATTCTGTCCGCATACATTCAATTACTCATTACCTCCCCGTCGCTTCGTGGCCGGTCTTATATATACAAGACTACACAATATCTAGAAGGATCATGAGGTTTAAGGAAAAGACGTGAATGTTCGAGAATGACGTGGCATGATACTAGTCGTAACAATATAATATACATAAAATAGAGTGTTTCATTTACATAATATACATAAAATAGTTCGCAGAGGACTTATACATTAAACATCATGTTTCGATACTCGTGGTGAAAAAGGTGGAAATAGTCCATTGGATAGCTTTGTGCTTAAACACAAAGTGAACAAACAAATAAATTTATAGAATATATTCATATGACTAAGTCCCCAGTTTTAAACTCATCTGTGGAACTTGTTATCATCTTACACCAAGAAGACACTGTTAAATGGCATACGAAGACAACAATGCTAATCTCTATTCAATTCAACACAGGTACTAAATTTAAGCGGTTTAAATTGTATCTGACCCAGCGCCACAGAAAGATCTCCAAATTTTCCCAAGACAATGTCAACAATTATTATGCACGATTAAAGCTTGTAACTATTACAAAATATATTTTCAATTGGAGAGATAGTGTTCAGGTATCAAGCCGACGAAAGCCAAATAGCATCATGGCATAAAAATTGTTATAATTTAATATTATACTGAAGAGTTAATCTATTCATGTTCTCCCCCCAGTGACACAGCAGTATGCCAGCGGACTACTAATGCGAGAAACCGAGTTACGGGTTTCGATACGCGTGTTGGACACAACACAGATAGCCCATTGTGTAGCTTTGTGCTTAGCTATAAACAAACAAACAAAATCACTATATAAACTTGAAAAACCAGCCTTTGGACCTGATGTTCAACTTCCACGTGCACTGATAACATAAGATGTAAGCCTCGAGTGTGCTTTACAGTCACGCCAAAACGTCTGAGTTTCATTCTCGAGGGAAACCCTTTACCAACATCCTGGAAAATTACTTGACATGTTTGTGATAAAGAACGATAGAAACACCAACTGTAATGTAGAAAAGAGTGTATTATTCTTGATGATAAAGACTGAAGGTCCAATATGAACAAACTACTAACACGTAAAAACACTTTTAAAAATTACCACCAAATCCCAGTTTTACGTGGTTGTATTGACGTTGATTAAATATGTACAAGAGAGAGATTTATTATATTGATTTTTTACAATATTCAAGGACAATTTTCCTAAATTCCGAAATAGCTCTTATAAGTATTATTTCGTAGAATCGGTGATTTGAAGTTTCGATCACCTAAGATGTAATTACACGAAATTGTTTTGAAATTAATGTAACAACGTTAAACCAGATGAGATAAAACTTTTATTTAAAACATCTCACTAAGTATGTAGACTTATATACGCAGATAAAGATACATGAAACTTAAAACCTCTAAATTTGGTTAAACTTTGCTGATTTTATATATATTACGATGGGGTTGCCATCTTCTGTCAATTTTTAGTACTACTACTAGTGTTAACAAACAAGTAAAACGAGCGATATTTCTTTGTATAGATGGGTAAATAAACTAATAAAACATATAATGTAATTAAAATAACAAAAACGACCAAATATTTCACTAGAATCCAAGAACGTGTAATCATGGTGTATTCTAGCAATTGTATTCTAGAATATTAAATATGAATCTTAGGCTATTCATACGAAAATATTTTGGAACGGAAATAAGAATCTAAGATTTAAAACACCGACACTTTCTATCTGTGAAATATTGTTCAGCATTAGGCTTATGCATATAACATTGCAAGTGAAAGTTTCTTCTCAGTTAAGCTATAAGTGAGTTATGAACGTGAAGAAACGATATCACATATTGCTATTTTTACCTAGTGATTCATGTGAAGGTATTAAACTAAACTAATTACTAGCGACCTTTTATATGTATTTATATATACATATAGCATTTTTAAAAGCTTCTTGTTAAATATTATATTCTATGTGATATCATGCTAACATGCGAAATCTAATAAGCATATTCCCCTTTATATATGTGGAAAACATGGAGATTGTCTGTATATTTTGTTTTAAGCTACAGAATAGCTTGTTTTCTTTATCTTAATTCTGTGAGAGGGATTTATTTAATCTATAGAATATGCAACAGCTCGATAGCGATTGTTTTTTCTCACAGTCAGTGATGTTTCGAAATGTGTGGATATTCTTGAAATCGAATCTCCGAAATCTCGTGAAACACTCTTAGAGATATCCTATTGAATTACACCTTAGTCTTCCCCCGTGACGTATGTGGGTATATGTCTGTTTTCTCATTCGCTGAATATTCGTGACGTTAAGCAGTAGGAAGGCTCACATTCTGAGAAGGGCTTATCATCTTCTCGTGGGTATAAAAATCAAGAAAAATATATGAACATGTTAATAAAGTTCGGTTCATCGAGGAAAAATATCTACTTTAGTACGTGTTATGAATCTATAACCCAGTCCTCTCAACAGAGATTATTCGACAAAGAAACAGCCACAGTTTTAACAACTAATTTAATATAACATATTAAATAAAAGGTATGTATGTTTGTTATTAGTTAGCATCATATACGATTAAATAAGTATCTATAAAAAAGGACTAAATCAACTTGGACAATGTAAGGTATTATTGAAGTAATTTTAATATGTATATATATGTACGTACATCTTCATTTATTCATACACAAAATGGAAATATAATATTTATTTACTGGTTTCAAACGATGCGTTTTTATTGTAAACAAATTTTCTTACCTTATGTTGAAAAAATATTAGAAACGTTAGCTTAACGAAGCTACAAAGTTAATACTACTTGGTTTGTTCCAGTCCCATCTTCTTTAATGTTTGTTTATTTGACAAAGAAGCATGTTATATGTTTGTCACACTTTATATAAATATGTCATTATCAAAATATGCAGTTAATGATTAATTTTGAAAAGTACATTTCAATATGCTGAATATTTAGTTAAACGAAGAACATGATATTACGAAACATGGGCTTTCTCCTGGTGGGATCCAGTGGCACAGCGGTATGTCTCCGGATTTACAAACTAAACGAACAAACAATCACCTGTTGGTGATCACTTTAACAAATTTTATAAATGTTACTGCTGGAGAAAAGAACTAATATTTCCCAACAGTGAAGCGCGAAATCCTGGAAACTAATAATACACAGTACCCTGTGACTTAATTTTAACTTGTACCTTCTTTATTTGCGAAGTTACGAGAGACAAATAAACAACAGCGGAAAGTATTATCTTCCAGTTAAATTGTGGTGTGACTTTTATTTTTCGTTAAGAAGATGGCATACTTTAATCGTCGTGTCTGTACATTAACTTTATTATTTGGAATGTAGATCTTTCAATCGTTAGATGTCACTTGAAAAATATTAACTGTATTAGTTGATATATACAGTATGTCACGTTGCCATTTATTAGTTGTTATATCAAGTTAAGTTGTTATGTTTGTCGCAATAACTCACATGTTAACATCTTTGTATATCAAGTTTAGGTTTTAAGTTAGCATAAATGTTAGTTGTATTGTCGACCAAGACAAATCATAATTTGTGAAATTCAGTATTTGCAGGACTTCGTGTATATAGTACGTAACTGTTAGTTTCTACATACGTCGATATGTTGTCAAATGCTTTTATCATGCTACGTTCCCACGTTAGATTATATATTAGCAAATGATAATAGCTATGTTCATTACGTAAAATCATAAAGTACCGAGGATTAATTTGTATGCACTTGTTGAATTGTAAGTTACCATTAAATCCTTTTAGCATCAAACTGAAATAACATATTTTTGTTGCTTTACATATTGTGTTGTCCAAAGACTGTTGAAATCTGTGCACCAAGTCGTCTTCGCGCCTAAAAAAGTGATCTGGTGGCAATGAAATTTTAATTACTTTTTCATTAAAAGAAGTGTGTTTTTTCGTAAATACACTAATACAGATACAATTAAACATCACAGAAAAGATCAGTACAACATTTTAATCTCCAATAAATATCGAAATTCCATTAGAAAAGTCAAAGTAGGCAAAATTTGGAAAGACCTTTATATTTCCAATATTTGACCCTCATCAGCCAATAAACACGCGCATTGCCAAATAAATACTCAGTTGCCCAGACACGGTTGACACGGTCGGTTCTGAACTTGCGTATTGCCAGATAAAATCTCAGTTGCCCAGACACGGTTGACACGATTAATTCTGAATTCGGGTATTACCAGATAAATTCTCAGTTGCCCAGACACAGTTGACACGATTGGTTCTGAAGCTTTCTACATCGCACAGAAACAATTCCGTGATTGATTCACCTTTAAAGTATTGTAAACATTAAATTTCACAAAAAAAGCAGTGTTTGTGAATTTTTTTTTTTTAATATCTAACTTAAACAAAATTGAAATATGGGTCACAACAAAAGGGTGGCAAAATCAGTTACCAAAAGTCAGTACCAGAGCTATTAATCAAGTAGTTACAACAAAAGGGTGGCAAATTCAGTTACCAAAAGCCATTACCAGAGCTGGTAGTAAAATAGCATCTCTTTGAAATTTTATGTTTAATAACAATCACACAAATCAAACGATATAGTACTGTGAATAAAACGATGTGGATCTGGACTATTAGAAGTATTCATTATGTGACTTTGTTTCATATCATTATTATTATTACATCTTCTAAAATGCATAAAAATAAGTTCAGTTCTAATGATTTCATCTGGGAATAGTTTTAGGGTCATAAAGATCACTCAAAATGATCATTTTGTTTTTGTGCTTATTAAGAAATACCCTATATTTAAATAGTGAAAACGGTTGATCGAATACATGATGTAGACAATCAATGCTCTAAATTCATTCAGAAAATAGAAACGTTCAACAAGTTAACGTAAAGCTATCTCTTGCAATTTTAAGAATGGCCAACCCCAAAGTATGTACATTTATAAATTCATATTCCGTTACGGTTTGTTTGGAAGTTTCTAACTTTAATTTTCTTTTTTTTTTTTGTCACTTCTCTATATTATCAAAGATATTTTTACCTAACTGAAGACGTACTTAGATTTAATATTGGATTATACTTTTTTCACATATTATTATCAAGCCTGGAAAGATTTGTCTCTGAACTTATACGCAAGTTAATATATTTTAATTTACTTACTAACGTTACCACTAGATGGGGTAAGCATATATTAATAATATTATTATTATCAGTTTACTTGCGTGAGTATAAATGATTCGAAATATATTTTCCACTTTTACGAAAAATCAACACTCAATATTTAAATAAGTTATTTATATTTTTATGTCATAGAAATGTGTAAAAATACTAAACTAGCTATAACGACTTTATTTATATTAGCAGTATAAAAGGGCTTTATCATCCCATATCTAAAAGTGTAAGAAAGCAATATCATGATATAATTAAAGTTGACATTTTCTAAACTCAATAATTTCCGAAAGAATGTGTAACAAATGAAGGAATTAATATTAATTACAATAAAGCAACTTACATGTAAATGAAGAATATTCTTTGGAAAGCACAAATATTAAAATTTCCAAAACAAAGAGCTTCTTATACTTGACTATGTACATTTGTTGTTTGTTTTCTTGAATTTCGCGCAAATTTCGAGAGCAGGTATCGGCTTATTTAAAAGTGATAGACAAAAGAGAAGGCAGCTAGTCAACACCACCCACCGCCAACTCTTCATAAACACAAAGTGGGATTCAACGTTGTATTATAATATTGTTTTGAATGATTTTTTTATTGTTGAATTAGTACGTAACTATTTTCTTCGCAATTTTTGAAGGGAATAACAGTGAAAACACATTGCTGTAGGGTCGACAGTTTCGTGCTGTTTTTCTATAAGAATCATCAACTATATTTATAAGCCGACTTTTTATATTTATGTAAGATATACTAAAATTGGTGGTATCCTTCAAACTAACCTTTAAATGTCATGCAGATATGTTTTCATAAAGGTAGTCAGTATCAAAAAAAAATAAAAAAATGCAATGCTGTAAACATATACTTTGTACACATATAATCACCGAATTTTCAACTGATTATCACAACGAGCCAGAATATTTTCTGAGTATTTCTTATAATATATTTTTAATGGCCTGGGCTTTAAAAGACGATATAGAACGCTATTTTTATACTCTTTATTATAACAAAAATTTACAATTTTATCTACAAAGCTATAAATAAATCTACGTCAATTTAACTTAATATTATGACAAAATGGTCGTTATTTTCTTTTCTTATTCACTTTATTTCTTTGTTACTGATTGATGTTGAATGGCTGGCTTGAGATGTTACATTAAAAACTGATCAATGAAGTCGTAAGCCAGAGGGTGTCTGATGCAAAGTGCTCATTCTAATAGAAATGGCTTTTGTTTAGTTTATACCTACAGCATGTAATAGAAACAAACTGGTGGGGTTGTATAGGAAAAAAGACTCGAGGCACGAATCGCGTGAAACGTTCTGGTGTGGTATAGTTATCCACACCATTTGCCTTCAGTTCGCCAGTGGTTACCGTTAGCTGAAGTGAGCAGCGTATACGCTACGCTACTACATGTGGTAGTAAGTCGGTCGCCTTGACAAGAAATTCTGTTCAACTGGCTTAGTGAAACAAGCCTATGTCCGATGAGATTAAGATTTTGTCGTAAGCATGGTTCGGTTGACGATGAAAAGGTATTGTGACTACACCGGACGAATGTCAGCAGTTCACAGCTAGATAAACTACCACGTCCAAGTACAGACGATGGGAGAAGACGGTAGGTAGCTAGAATTTTACACTGTTCAAAATGGGGGGGGGGTTGTAGTTTGTATTGAAGTTATACAACAAGAACAGAAACTTGTCATCACCAAATATGAACAAGGTGACTGCAGTGATGGATTTATGTTAAAACGTATTGTGACTACACCGGACGAATGTCAGCAGTTCACAGTTAGATAAACTACCACGTCCAAGTACAGACGATGGGAGAAGACGGTAGGTGGCTAGAATTTTACACTGTTCAAAATGGACAAGAGTCGGGGGGGGGGGTTGTAGTTTGTATTGAAGTTATACAAAAAGAACAGAAACTTGTCATCACCAAATATGAACAAGGTGACTGCAGTGATGGGTTTATGTTAAAGCCAATCCAATAGTGTTAAAATTGTTCTACAAGATAGTACTTACATTAAACACAAATTCCAATGCCCTTCTTACTCTAAGTAATATTTTTAGTCGAGAAACTCTCGTTAATTTAAATTACAATATTATATTTACCGTTATAACAAGAATTTTAAAAAATGCGTTTTGCGTCTTGGCTGAAGTGTAACACGCATGCGTCAAATTGAGAAACGACAGCTTAAATCCTATATGCATAGTATCTCAAAAAAGGCATTAGCTGATTGGTGGTTAATGTATCTGTCTTGTCTGGGCCTTGACCTGCTTATGAGAAAATTATAGAAAAGTTGTAGACAGACAATGAATAGTTCCACCTTGCTATGATTAACGCCGATATATCACGCAAAGAAAACGAATTTCGTTGTGGATTCATCGAGTAACGCGCGTAATTTTAACTGACTGCCTTTGATTACGTAAAACAGAATCGTAGGTCTCAAATGGTTGAGTTCATTGCTTATGCAAGTTTTGTGCTGGTCGTAGGTCTCAAATGGTTGAGTTCATTGCTTATGCAAGTTTTGTTTTGATTAACAGTAAAGATGATACGACAGAGTAATTAAAATACGGTCAATCTGATTGGTGCTTAATAACTTTATATTTTACACGAAGATATAGCATGGAAATATGGATATATATATAACTACATGAAGTTAGAATTGTGTGGTTATTTTACAAAATACTTTATGTGTGAGAGAAACTGGAAGCCGCTATTCAGATGTGTGGAAGCTTCACTGAATTTATGTTTACATATTTAGTGTGCGCTCAACAAACACCATGGTGAACGGGTGGTTCGACGCCTTCAGAGAACAAGGAGGACCAACACTCTATAGCGTCTCCAACAGGACTCCGGTCATTCAGGATATCCGGAATATCATCATTTATATCAGTTTTACTACTTTCTTTGTGGCCTTTCTCATCGTTTTCCCTGGCATTAGGAAGGAGGTAGCTCATTTTAATTACATTTTCCATTTTTGTTAAAAGTGCCTATATGTAGAGTGGGTTTATTTAGGGACACCAAAGTCAACCTTCGTAGTTTAAAGTATTATTTACTCGTCTGGAACATTTGTTTTGTCGAATACTTGAAAGAAAGTACGGTTAGCTTGTTATCTTAGATCTTGAAAACAGAAAGGCAAGTTTATATTAAAATTTAGAAGTTTATTACTTCGTAGAAGATTATTGATAGTAAGTGATAAATAATTTTCCAAATGGCATGTAAAAATTACTAGTTAATTTTTCATGATGTTTTGCTTACCAAAGCTAATGTAATGAAATAATTGACACCTGGGGTTTGGATGAGGAAACCGTGTAGTTATAGCAATTTCACACACAATTATTAGAAGAATAATGTATAGTTTAGTCGAAATGCCGATAAACTACAAATATATCATTAAAAACTTTCAGTTTTATAAATGTAAGTAGTGATATGTTATAACTGTAAGTTACAAGTCTAATGCTAATTAAAATTAAGAACATAACGTTTAAAGCATGTTTTTATAAAATGTTATTTCTGCATTATGCGACTAAAATCGCATTACGACTATAATTATGGGCTCAGCCAACTGTAATAAATTTAATTCTTTTATTATCAGGAAAGTCAGTAAAGTCGTACGAATTAAAAACCTTACACCACAGATTTTCAATCGTTCCAGATTTGGGTTTTCTCATACGCTTCTTAAAACGAGTAATTAATCAACTTATTACCTTATTATCTTTGGCCTGTATATACCATTACCAGTGAATTATTTCCCAGCTATTCTTCAAATCGATGGTTTGATATGAATCACAACATTTTTCGTGAAACTTCGCAAAAAAATTCAAGATTTGTGGCACAACCTTTCAGGCGCCAAAAATATGTCAAAAAGTGGTATTGATTATTACTCATTACATCTATCACTCCTTGTTTCACTCATGCTTGTACACCCAACTTTGATCATCGTAATCAGAGCCAATATTCTACCGAGATCAAACTTAAGTTTTGAGCTATAACTTCCGATTATATACGAATACACATGCGGGTGTGTGTTTGAGAAAGAGAGTGAAGGACCCCCCCCCCCAAAAAAAAGGCCGAGGAGATGACCTCATAGCTAGTTAGAGTCCTATATCTCTGTATTTTTTCGTATATCGTAAAATTCCTGAGTTTGCTTTCACTGTATCGCTCTGTACCAGTACTTCTTCTGCCGCAGCTTCATGAGATGTATGATTAAACAAACATCTAATAAACACTTTTCTTCACGTGTAACATCATAGAGGTTTGTATGTTAGTAGAATAAGATATATGCCCTCGATGTATGCTCACATATAGCTTTATGTCTGTGGGTTACGCACGTGCAACTTTTATGCCTCGACTGGCAGGTTGTGGTAAGGTCACATCACAGCAGGTCTAACTCACCTCTTGTGGTATTTCAAGTGAAAGTGTCGCGCGACCAACAGTTTGAGCTTGTGCAATATGGTGACACATTCGCAGTTTGGTGTGGCATGTAGGCTAAAGAAAAAAAAATGTTTTTATTGTATCATGTATGTCCTCAATTTTGCAAACTAACCAACTTGTATCAGTCAGGATACTGGTCTTCCCATTATTAGGCTAATAACCAGAAAAAGAATAAAAGTATGAAGTCACACTCATACACATACATTGTCCATACTATTTCTATAAGATGATTCAAAGCCAATGACGTCACACCGTTACACTATAGATCCTTCATCAGTTTCTTTGAGACATATCAGAATTAGAAAACTTTTGACTATTGTATTCATACTAAGCGTACAACAATGAAATTTTGGATTTTTCACAAGATTCTTTTGGGTCAACGTTTTGAGTTTTTCAAATTCAAATCGTATATTTCGTGGAATCATTAAGAATATAGTAAACATAATGCGTTTAAGGCTTTACAAAGTGAGTAAAAACTTAACCGTAAAATGTGTTTGTGGTTCGGGGGTGGGACAGTATTTGATTGTCTGTAGTATATTCAAAATTTTGAAAAAGGGTTAAAAAAGTAATGGAAATTAACTGGTTCGCAGAGGACTTATCGGCTGAGATAAAAACCAGAAGTAATAAGGCTATAATGGAGTAGGAGTGATAGAAATTGTTAAAAGAACCAATTATTCAATAGAGATTTTACGATATAAGTATAATTTCATAACAGTATGCTAATTCAAATGATACGCTTGACTAGTTGTGCTGATAAATAATTCACTAACGATAAATTTAATTTCCCCATCAGATTGATAGAAGGATAGCGCTTTGAATTATAACCGTTTGGCGGTGTTTATGAAAGTCTTGTAAAAGAGACAAGCTTATAGAAAGGAGCTTGTTTATACCAAACGTAAAAACTGATAGCTGTTGGACAAGCATAAGAATAGTTATTAAAGATTCTCACTTTTTAAATATCTTAGGTTAGAACCATCTGCATGTTGAATCTAGCCAGACTATAATATAGAACAGTGTAGGAACTTGTATTTTCGTCTTTATCAAACCAAATAAAGATATTTACCAAAAAAAAAATATGTACAATAAATAGTGATGAAGTCTTATTTATTTCATGTTAAAGGTGATGGGTGGGTGTAAAGGTGACTTCGAATAATAGCTGTTACTATTTATTTCAAAGTACTTTATTTGAAGTTACGTACCTTATTCTAAACTTTGGTTACTAGTGCACGTTAATTAAAACAAAAGTAATTGAAGTACATGAATGTTGGTGCATAATGATTAATAAGCGTCTTGTCTAACAGTAAATAGGAATAATACTAATCTGTTTTCTGTTCTTTTTCTCAGAGGCTGACGACCATTGTCAGTGTAACCATCAGTCTTTTTGTTGGAGCTGTAATTCTTAGTAAGTAACCATTAATTTGTTCTAATTTAAACATAACAGGATATAACAGTAGCTTATAAATAAACGAACTGAGACATGTTTCCATTTTACTATCATTTTTGTTGGAGCTGTAATTCTCAGTAAGTAACCATTAATTTGTTATAATTTAAACATAACAGGATATAACAGTAGCTTATAAATAAACGAACTGAGACATGTTTCCATTTTACTATCATTTTTGTTAGAGCTGTAATTCTCAGTAAGTAACCATTAATTTGTTCTAATTTAAACATAACAGTAGCTTATAAATAAAAACTGATATATATCATTTTACTATCATTGATCAGAGTGAAATCGATAGCATATAATACCTCAAGTTTTATAAAACCAGCTAATAAAAAAAAAACCTACGATAACGATAACATTGCAATTCATGACTATCATTATAATAAAGATTGGTGAATAATAATAATGATATGTAGCAGAATCATTTTTACATAACTGTGACAGTTCAAGATATATATCGCGAAGTAATTGTCTTTGTAACTGTTGCATTTGTTTTAGTTCTATATGGATTTTATTAACAAATACACAAGGACAATAAAGGTCACATAGCCTGCTTGGTACCGAAGAAATTGAATGACGGAGGTTAATTACATCGTGTACTGCATCTCGACAATTTCCATTAATACTTCTTAACTGATCAGGTCAGTGTTGCTGCTGGTCATCATTTGAGTGATGAATCGAGTGACTCTTGTCAAGACTGCTGATAGAGGTCACACATAGGATGTGGGCAAAATTTCAAGACATAATTATTTATACACATCTATTTGGCAAGCTTATGCCCTGAGTGATCCAAGTATTCAGTTATTAATAGTGAATATATTCTGTATAATGCAATCAAGTACTTACTATTAATTGGTCATTTAATCGCACCGCCCGAGTTAAATTTGAGTGAGTACAAATTTAGTATATTTACAATAACTTAAGGTACGTCAAAATATAACTAAAGTACTGGAACAGTTGTTGACTGTTATTAATACCTTTTTGATTGTACTTACAATAACTTAAGATCTGTCAAAATACAGCTACATTACTGAAAAAGCTGTTAATTGTGTATATTATTAATATACATAGTAGGAACGCTAAAGTTTCTGTTACGCATGCTCCGGTGCTTGGAGCTTGGGCCATTCACTTCGACTTGAAGTGAAAGCTTGTTCTCGAACGAGTTCATCAACCGGTAGGCCCATTTTTAGAGAAGCGCTGATAGGGCCCCATGTGCAAGCCTCGCGTGATGACGTAACGTTCAATATGCGTACAGCAAAATCACTCTCTCCACTGAGTTAAAATATTAACAAATGTATTACCACACTGAAACAAAACATATGTTAACAAATGTATTACCACACTGAAACAAAACGTATATTAACAAATGTACTACCACACTGAAACAAAACGTATATTAACAAATGTACTACCACACTGAAACAAAACGTATATTAACAAATGTATTTATTACCACACTGAAACAAAACGTATATTAACAAATGTACTACCACACTGAAACAAAACGTATATCGGTACATAAATAATTTAAAAAGAAACCACAGTTATGATGTTCGACATAATTATCGAGTAAGTTTACTTATGAAGCGGTTTAATAAAGGTCTGAATTCAGTGTTTCAAGTTGTTATTGGCAACTTGAAGAAACGGCAAAAAAAGTGGGTAGGAAATAATAGGATGCTATATTACTAGTTTTTAAAATGTATTTTCTATATATCCGCAGGGAAACTAAAAATAGACTGTACCTTATCCTTCCTTGTTAGTGCTTACCTAAATAAAATGGGGATCAACCTTAAATTGATCTAAATGGTAAATTACATGAAATGAAATCTACACGAAAATAGTTTCCATACGTTGGTTTTGAGCGCAGTTAATCACAAACTGAAAAAAAATGTTTTAAACCTGTATTGGAAATCCTAAAAACAGTCACAATTTTATAGTTAGAAAAATTAATATGTAAGTTAAGTTTATACGTTAGCATTTACACGTGCGCTCTGCACTGTCTAGTTTTTATGCCGTTAGGTGTGCTTCAAGTAATGCCATATGCATAACGTGACTGACACCACTCTGAAGACTAGAAAAAAAATTATACCAAACCCTTCATTATTTAGAACTGATAAACTGAAAGTTATTTATAGTACCGTATGTTGAATACAGATTAAAACAGATACGAGGATTTCTTAAATAGTCAGTCCGATAGACGGATATGCAAATACAAATAGGTTACTAGTGGTTGACAAATGGACTGACAGCTATTTAGCTGTAAGGCGCTTTATGTGACACAGGGGCTGAACGGCCAGGTCAGAGACCTCAAAATTCAAGCATAGATGTTCCGTATATAGTAAGGCTGACCACAGGAAGAGCAACCGGACAGCATTACCGGCGGCCTGCATTGTTTTTTTTAAATTGAATAGAGTTTGTCCGTCACTATTTTAATGCGCCCACGGGTGAAAGTGCTGAGTGTGTTGAGCAACATATTGTGGTTTTAATCTAGGACCTTTTGATGTGCATCACGGCACGCTAACCACCAGCCCATTGCCCAACAGAGACTGAAAGAGATAGATGGCTGTTTCAAAATTATAATATTTTCAATATTCGGCACGTGAAGAAAATAACGTACGAGAACGTAACACAGTATTATACCAAGAGAAAAGTCCACCTGTTGTGTATAGTTGAACACAGTATTATACCAAGAGAAGAGTCCACCTTTTGTGTATAGTTGAACAAAGTAGTATACCAAGAGAAAAGTCCACCTGTTGTGTATAGTTGAACACAGTATTATACCAAGAGAAAAGTCCACCTGTTGTGTATAGTTGAACAAAGTGGTATACCAAGAGAAAAGTCCACCTTTTGTGTGTAGTTGAACAAAGTAGTATACCAAGAGAAAAGTCCACCTGTTGTGTATAGTTGAACACAGTATTATACCAAGAGAAGAGTCCCTCTTTTGTGTATAATTGATATATCCACATTACATTGGTAATATTATTTACCCAGCTCACTGTTCCTTCTAGTTTTCTTTGTATCGTCACGCTCAGAATGTTTTCACCCACAGGACAAGAACAAAGATGACAAGAACACTTCAACTGATCGATAATTTACGCTTCTTTAACCTGAATTTCATAAGTTGAACAAGGCCGGGTACATATGTGTCAGTGACGTGCGAGTGTTTGGTTAACAAAGAGCGCCTATAATGATTATGAGGACTTGAGTTTTTGGTGGGGACGGTACTCTCCCTTCATGCAAGATGAATCAGTAATATTTAGGCCAGTTGGTGGTGCTTCCTATTTTTTGTACTACTCATTACACCTCCGTTTCATTTCCCATCCGTATGTTAACAACTTAAGATTTTGTACACTGAAAAACACCTTGGCAGTTCCGCATTCTTTGTAAACGAGGTTACTAAACTGCCCAAAAATAGTTATAATTTCGATCTATATCACACTTGCTTTCAATGATGAATGTGATATAAGAAAAAATACAATGTAATTTGTTGTTGTTTTTTGACTAAAGAAGCCAGATGTAGTAACCGGGTGCTGTCGAATAGGTCAATATATTACCTTGAATTCTATCAAACCTCAGCATTCTTTCTAAAATGTTCTAAATACAAGGTATCTGGAATTAATAAGATTTTTAACTATTAAAGTGTACCAGATTCGTGACAAGAGCACCTCCTTACTAGTTTTCATTGAGATGAAAATCCTGCCAGTCCCGAAAATTTGACCCATTGCGTCTATTCGATTATAACATCTGAATGTTTTAACACAATAGTGGTGAAATTCTCCTTAAAATAAGGGTACTAACCTTTGTCAGGACCTGGACTCACACGGTATCTTTTCGTGCACAGTTTGAATGAAACTTTCAAGCAGTGCAAAAAATAAAGGAACTCAATAGCGGCTTCCAAAAAATAAGCGGTAGTCCACCTGAAATTAAAAACAAAGAGACAGAACCGATATAACTTTCCGGTAAGTAACGACAAGAGAACTGATACTGAATTCCGGTAAGTAGCGACAAAAGAACTGGTACTGAATTCCGGTAAGTACCGACAATAAAACTGGTACTGAATTCCGGTAAGTACCGACAATAAAACTGGTACTGAATTGCGGTAAATACCGACAATAAAACTGGTACTGAATTCCGGTAAGTACCGACAATAAAACTGGTACTGAATTCCGGTAAGTACCGACAATAAAACTGGTACTAAATTCCGGTAAGTGCCGACAATAAAACTGGTACTAAATTCCGGTAAGTGCCGACAGAGTTTCAGCCGGGAATTTGTAAGCCCTAATTACTTGAAATCTTCACATTAACCCATAATCTGTATTATTGTAATTGTTAATAAGCAGAGGCCTCGGCGCCATGCATATATTTTGTTGGTTTCACGATTGACGGGACGGCGTACGTTTGTATTATTCGCCATGCAATAGTACTAAATACTATCATACAATTTTCTAGAAGTTCACCCCTGTTAGTCAGCTTCTCCTTATTAGTGTAAATATTCCAAATATATAATTTGACTTGTAGTTCTAAACGTCCTGAAGGGCTGTATCGTACCCAAAACAACGAAAAGTTTCATACTCTCTCCATACTCGATTCCGAAGTTCCATTAGTCCGTATATAATATAATATTTATATATTATCTTAAAGCAGCAAAGAGAGCAATATGTGTACATGTTACGTTTATGGGTGGACTTTCCGTCTTGCATACTAATTCTTTTCGTATATATGCACTACCTTCGGACCAATGGACGTTTAAAATACAAAGCCGTCTTCTTTCTAAGTCCTATACTTTATCACGTTGAACGAATATATTACCTTGTAAGCTGGCTGGGCGTTTTTTTGTTGTTGTTGTTTGTTTCTTTTCTTTTTAAGGGGAGGCGAGGGACCTTTGTTTTAGAGAGTAATAAAGGTATATATTTTGTATTTTGACTTTCTGCCAATCCACGTCGTCCAGCTTGTTATCTTAGCAGTATAACTTTTGAAACATCATAACCCTGACCCATTATACATATTTCACCCACTGTGCCCTTTACCTGGAAAAGTTTCTTGTTGCAACTTTCGTAGTTCTGTAACACATAAAAGATTGAATTTATCCGCGAAAATATAATCACTTTATCTACTTTCTAACTGCGTTTGAGCTTTCGCTGAGTGTGTGTTGCCCATAAACTGCTTATCATTTATAAAATCCTTTCATAGCTCGTCACCCAGTTAATGTATAATCAGTGAAATGATATTTAGACACATTGTCTTAGATCACTGAGCCTGTTCAGTACAAATTTTACTGAAGTCTATTTTAAGCGAAGCATGCATGGATTTATGTATCACATGAATATTAATTACCATAATGATAACTGTGGTTCATCAATACCCTAAAATAGCAATGATTATACTTTAGTTACGTTTCAAAGCGATGGCCGAATTGGACTAGCTGAAATATATATATATAATATGTCAAACTTTTTGTGACTTCGACTTCATTGTAAGATAAAACTGGCAAGGATATCATTACTCTTTCGTCAGATATTTGATTGGATGTACAGGACAGAACACATAGACAGATTTGAGTTGTACGAATGAGAACGACTCTACCAAAATGTACATGGCCTTGAATTTGGGATTGTCCTGTACTTCATTCCTGATTCCCGCTGTATTACAAACCTTCTACACCATTTTACCGGTGACTGTGTAGAGTGTAAAATGTTAGTACTAATAAGCAGGTGACTTTATTCTTAACAGAGAAGCATTTATCACTTCTATTCCATGAAAGCATTATTAACATGTTCATGTAAGGTACTGACATACGTATTTACCTTCTAGTTTATCTATGTACTTATTTATAGTTGTATGTCTGTAGAAATGCTGAAAATTTAATTTAAAGTTTTTTGCTTTCTATAACATTCCACTCGGAGGCACATTTGTATGCTAGAAATTTGTTTCCAAATTACTTTACTGTTAACTGTTATTCTGTTTTTGTTTTTTTTAGTCTGTTGCATGATCTCTGAGTAAATTCGTATTACACACTAACATACAGAAATACACAGGATAATCATATCACTATTTACACGTTGGTTTTATATCTTCTAGGTTTATTAAACAAATTGCGTTAGGAAAACAATGAAAAATATAAACGTAAGAGGGCAAATCTGCGTACAGGTGGCGTGAATAATTGATCAATATAAGTCACGGCTCATAACTGTAGTTTGCAAGGGGATGTAATAGAAAAAGAAAATAGGGTGACAGCATCCGGTCCCGTAAACAATTTTATTTCTTTAAAACAATACCCACTGCTTCTGCTAAGCACGAATTGTGTTTGCAACATGTATTTAGTGGGAAAACGTTTTGTGTTGTCCCGTTTTTCAATATATATACATTCTTATATACGCACTGATAAAGATGTAGGTAATCATAAAAGTTGACCTTCCTAAAGAAGGGTTACTGCGGGATTTTCTTTTAGGCATAGACTTTCACGACTTTAAAATAAATGGGTTTTATTGAATCAGCTTTCTCGAGCGCATCTGTATATTGAAAAGTTTATAAGTAAGATAACGAAAGAGAGACAGCAGGATTATGAACAAATTGAGAAGGATTTTAAGACTCGTACGATGAATAAAATGCTGTTGTAATTTGTATTCTAACATTGTTTTTAATCTATATATATATGTAGGTTTGTTATATTTGATTAATAAAAATTGTTACGTATCAGAATTTCAAATGGTCTGAAATTGAAAAGCTGATACATAGTCAGTTTATGATATTTACTAACAAGATTGATACACATAGTTTTCTTTTTTAACACAAATACGTTTTAATATACACACAACAATACAATTTACAATAACAGTTATTACAAATAGTTATTACAAACAATGATTTATAAACAAAAGTTTATAAACTAACAAGCAATATAAAGTCTTCTTTCTAGTGTGGAACTTTCTTGATATCTTATCGAGGGTTCACGATGAGCGACTTAATTTCGAGTTGACGTACGCACAATTCACTTAATTAACAGGAAGCTAGCTAGCCTTGCAGTCTTCACTGTTCATACGCCTATCAGAGATTGAGTTTCCACCGATGACGTTAGGTAATGTTTTCGTAAAAGTATTAATGTTCGATGTGAATCCACTGAAGTTAAATGGTTTGTAAAGTTCGAAATTTATAAATATTCCTGGTCAAATATCTGAAGTTTTCCGATTGATAAGCGTTATAACAATCACAGTTACAGCATCCAAAGTTTATAGCACACTGACTATAGCACACTAATAACAGACACTGTTTTGTTTTGGCGCGTCGCGTTGGTTATATTTATAGGCGTGTGTAGGCGTTCTAGAAATTTCAGTTTTACGTAACAATACAAATTTAAGCGTTTACGTACACACATATATTGTTGATTCTTACTCTCGAGAATCTTTTACAACTTTGGAGAATAGGCGGGAGTTTTGCAATACATATTTAACAGTATAAGCTATGCATGTTTTTAGATATAAACTTAATATAAATAACGTCGATATTAAAATAAATATATTAATTACAAAATATAAACTTATGAAGCTGATTATTTATGGAAGTTTAAAAAAAGCAGGAAGTAAGAAAAAATATATTGCCTCTATTGATGAACTCGGTATACATCGAAATCAACATAAACACGAGTGCATAGAAATCGAATCCAATTTGTGTGGCCTACTATCAGCTGTTATGTTCATTCCAGCAAAAGAAATGGACTCCAACGTTCTGAGTTTGTAAAAGTCTTAATTTATAATTTTTTTTTTCAGTGGTTATGAAGTAACTTTACTTTTCCAAATTTTCACACTAAATATTTGATGCAAAAATGTATTTAACTTTTTCATCTCGTTATTGACATTTTACTTCTTACCGCAACTATCTTAAAATAGCACTGAAAATCGTATTTGTAACGCTTTCTACACCAGAGCAAATCATTCTATTATTATAATCTGTAGAACCAGTCACCACAATGCATAATTATAATTAAAACATGACTTGTTTTTGGTTCATTAGTTTGCGAACAATACTAAGTGCGCGTCAAACATCCATCATTTTAAATAATAGCCAATAAATATATACGTTTTCAATACATGCTCACTTTTTTTTATCATTTTATAGTCTCTAACTATGGCAGTGACTGGCACGTTGCTGAAGCTACCGTTTCTAGTCTTCATAAAGCCTCCTCAAGAGAAAAGATTGATACAGACCTGGGTGTTCACATTGGGTTAAACAGCGTGAATATAACTCTACAAGGTAAGATTCTCGTATCATAATAAAAATGGTAGATATTAACCCTGATCGAACGAAAGTGATTTTTTTCACTTACTTGGTATTTGTTCTATTGTCCTTAAAACTTCATTGAACGATCCAATGGTTTGTTTTATGAGCAGTATGAATATATATATTTTCTGTGTTTGTAGTTTTGAAATATGATTTTTCTATGCTCGCAGTTATGTTACATTTAAGATATACATAGGTCACTCATCTTTCTTCTTTTCCAGAGATAACATTTTTACTAGTCTCTCATCTTCTCTGTCACTAGACCACTTTATATTAAGCTCTGTGATGGAATGCCATTTCCAGTCTCAGTAACCAATGATAATTTCATTTTTTTCAGTTTTATTTCTATAATTAAGCTGTCATAATTTTATTTTTCACTTTTTACACGAATCTTCTTCGAACTTCCAGCCCCTGTCCCTCGGTTGCTCAACGTCAAGTTTGAGGGCTAATACTCTATAAATTAGGGTTCGATAACTGCGGTGGGGACAGCGCAGATAACCCACCGTGGAGCGTGCGATTAAATACAAAAAAGTAATGTCCTTTATTGGCTAAGCGACAAATCTAAAGGCTTACAGTGATAAAAACCGGGTTTCGATACCCTTGATGAGCACAGCACATATAGTCCGAAGTGTAGCTTTGTACAACAAACACGCAAACAAACAAACCCAGTACATAGTAAAAACCAGTAACAAACAAACCCAGTACATAGTAAAAACCAGTAAAAAACAAACCTAGTACATAGTAAAAACCAGTAAAAAACAAACCTAGTACATAGTAAAAACCAGTAACAAACAAACCCAGTACATAGTGAACCCCAGTAACAAACAAACCCAGAACATAGTAAAAACCAGTCTTCTCGGATCTTACGTCTGTGGCTGATCTTTATTTTCAGTTTATCTTTAGTGATTAAATTTCATGTGACCTCTTCATCTCATTAGTGAGTCTGACTGACCATCAGCCTCCTCAGTTTCACCTCATACTCACTTTATTATTTTTCATAATTAGAGACTGATTTCCGTTCCTTCTCTAAACCCTACTAAATGGATAATTAACCCTTAACCCCAAGCATTACCAGCGATTTAGTTTAATTTATTTGCTTAAATATTATGCACTCACACTTTTCTTTCGTTCCTTGTTTATCGTAGAAATCGTGAAAGTTTTGGTGCATGTCTGTTGGTAGATTTTAGATTCAAACTGTTCCCGTTTCCTTGATATCCTACCAACATTAAACTTGTAAAGTTTGATTCCAATCCGCATTTGTTTCGCATTCCTTTTTTGTGTCACTTTTCTATCCGTTGTTTTATGTTTCGCTCACAATTAGCCATCCAGTGAAAGCATAAAACGACAGAAAGATTAAGATACACTGCAAACATTTATGGATAATCGGATTTTTCTACTTTCCAGCTATGAGAAGACGATATTACTGTTCGGAAATAATGTAAATCAGCTCATTTTTATGCACATTAACCACCTAATATTCCATCATATAATAAGAAATGCAAATGATTGGTCGTTCAGCAGAAGCTGTATATAGTGGTCTCACACAGCCTTGTCTGAGTTGTTACTTTGAGTCTTATATGTTCGCAGCAACAGCTACACCACACGACCGTACACGTTATATTCGTATGTCCAAATTGGTCGACACACCGAGCTTTGCAACGTTGTGATACATCGTTTTTCTATAAACAGCCGTCTAAACAGCGGAAGCGACTTTTGAAATACTCGATACTTATTAAAATATTTAAATTAATCAGTTATATATAAAATCATTAGATTTCCAAGAAATGAAATGTAGCTGTTAATATACTTCCATTTATAATGGCTGTTCAACGTAATTCACCAGACACAATGTTCTAAAACTAGAAACAGCACAATAGATTAGAGCAGCGTTTCCCAAACTTTTGTCATCCATCGCCCCCTTTAATAAATATGGTTTCTTTCGCACCCCCTCTTTTTTTTTCTTTTTGAAATGAGTGAAAAAGTGAGTTAAGTGGTTAGATATAATACACATTTATAGTAATAAAATACCATATGTCTTGTAGTGATTACTTTGTGTTTTAATTAATAAAAGTATATTATTGCACTATTAACTTTATACTAATCGCTCGCGCCCTCCAAGAGATTATTTACGCACCCCCATATTATTGCACTATTAACTTTATACTAATCGCTCGCGCCCTCCAAGAGATTATTTACGCACCCCCATACTTTGAGAAACGCTAACTTAAATAATATTTAAGGAATAGTTTATTATTCAAACCCTTCTGATTTCAGTACATGTCCTTTCTCCAACTGTCTATATAAGTTTTCGCACTTAGACAGAGTATCATACTGACGAGTGAAAATAGATAGACAATGTAAGTTTTTCTAATATCCTTGTGCCTTGCATCTATTTAAATATAGTCTACTCACTCACACATATTATGTACTTCAATACATTTATATTTTATCTACAAGTTTAATTATGCGGGATTTGGATCAAGGATCAGAAGGTAATAAATAGCAATTCTAATGTCATACATGGACATACAACAATAAAGTACAGGAAAACGTGATGATAATTTCTTGGAAAAAAAACCCATCTTTCTGGGATAATATTTGTTTTGCTTACAAAGTAATATGAAAAGTTGTAATGTAGCTTTTACAAGATAAATATTAAGTAAATGTTCATTTTTATTTTATTGTTTTTCCAGCTACGAATCTGAAACCTCTTCAGGAAATCAATTACAATGAAAGATTTAGTTGGATAGGAGGTAAGTTGCTGCGTCATACTTTTGATGTCTTTCAAATTAAAGCACACCCATTAATGTTTCTTATTATGTTTTTCTTCAATTGTTAATATTAAAAAATATATTGTTTTCACACGTCTCTGTATATTTTAGGGGCTTATTCTTATTTTATAGAATTTTCAAGTAATACAAAATCAGCATCTTCTTTTAATTGTTATTTGTA